AGCTTAATGACGAATTAGGCGATAAATACCTATTCAAAGAGGAGATTTTTCTGACTTTAACAGGATCTTTAGGTTAGAAGACAAAGGCATAAGATGGCCCAATGTCTGAAGTTAAATAAATTCCAGCAAGAAATAAAATTAAATTTTTATGCAAGAATAATTAATGACTAATGGGTGCTTACAAATTACTAGAAGGTGCCAGCCATCCCTTACAGCCAAAAAAAAAACCACCACCTTTCTAAAATACATGTTTTGGGAAAATAACACTTATTCTGAGAGACTTAATGCAACACATGTTTCAATAAATCCCAATATACTTTTATAGGCATTCCCTTTCCCCATGTTTCTGCAGAGGAAAATAATGCTGTGTTCAGAAAGTGCTACAGAAATTACTTTCGAAGTAGTTTCTTACATCAGGAACCACGTCTTTGTGTTTTTCATTTGGCATTTCTACAAGGCAGATAGGCATTAGCCAACAGCTGGGATTTCAACTCAGGAAGATGATAGCTGCATCAAAAACGTTCAAGTCCAACACCCAGCAAGGTGTAGGACTTGAATGTGAAGGGGGGCAAATTTAACCCTGCAATCACCTAGGTTCATCAGAGAGAGAAAAGCTGGGGTATGGAGGTGCCAATCCTTTCTATTTTCATGCAGAGCATTCTCAGATGGATAGACATCAGTATTTTATTTCCTGCCTACACACAATAGCAACATATTCCTTCCCACTCTCTATCCAAACTTTGCCAAGCCTCTTTCCCCAGTCAGAACAAGTACCTAAATCAAAATGATCACACCCCTCCCCCCCCTTGCTGTTCAATAACTAGAAAGGCCATATGTGTGCACTACCCACATAAACAGCATCTCTCTTTCAAAAGGCAAGAGCACAAGTGCCCTCTGGTTGCTTAAAAAAAAAAAAAAAAAATCTAGATTTGTCTCTAAAAATTTCCCAAAAACAAATTATGTTCTTGCTTTTTATCTCATTTACATACTAAATTGTTCATGCTTTCTAATTATATAGGAATATACTTCAAAAATAAATCTCTACAAAAAGAGTAGGTGTTTTAATATTGCTACAAAGTTCTACTCCCAGTCCTTGCTTAGAATAAAATTGACCTAGTGAATTACATGTAAAACAAGAATAAACCTTGCTCTCTTGATCTTCTAACATGCCAAGATGGGTTTCAGGGAATGCCCATGGGTGATGTATACTGACAGGCTATTTGTAATTCAGAGAGTATCTGTTGAGTGTTACTGACGCTTTACACTAAAAGACAAACAGAGAATTTTGTAGGCAATCCTCCATCCATTCCCATAATTAGGAAACTGCCATCAATTTTCAAAAGATTTGGATCACGAGTCCTGTCCCAACCATTTTTCTAAGATTGGTTTGGGACTAAAAGGGGTTGGGCAATCACACTGCCTTTGTCTGTCCTCTTCACATCTGAGCTGCTAAATCAGTTTCAGTGAGAATCTGGAGAAAGTAACTGAAGTCTTAAATGCAAATTGTCCCTAAAAGTTTTGCAAAAAGAGGTTCCAATACAGGCAAGAGAAATCAGTTCAGCATGACTTTAATTATGGAATTAGACATCAGAGAATCCCCCTGAGTGCAGACTGTTACAAATGCAGTTACAAATTCAGAAGTTTCAGTCAGAGCCTGCACTCAATTTGATGAGGAACAATCCAAGCACACAATATAAAGCCACAGGAAGCCAAGATTTCAGTTCCCTCAGTCATAGAGCAAACTTTTCATTTTATTTTTAAACCTGCCCTGATCTCATTTCTGCAGCTCTTCTCAATGCTTGCAGGCTCAGCACTAGCAAGTTAACTCTCACTCACAAGCCAACTTTACCAATATTCAGATGCTACTCACCAGCAACATGTTGCAGTTTAATGAAATGAGATATTAAGGAAAAGCAGCTTAGACTCTTCCAGAAGCTGCTGATGTCCATGTAAGAAGCACTGCCAGTTTCAAGAGGTTTTGCTAGAGCCTAGGGGATTTTTTATTAGAGCCTTAGGAAACAAATGAGATTTAAAGAAGGATAAGGATTGCAATTAGCACACAAGATAATGATTCGGAAAGTGTAGAGTACTGCATGAAAGGTAGAAGGATGCCAGAAGCAAGAGAAAGAGAAAGTTGTGAGGTAGGAGGAGATGCTGGCAGGCTTAGAACAATGTGCAGCCTCTGAATATGTAGTTGGTAAGACTAGGGGAAAAAGCGGGCCCCCTCTGGAAGGGGGCAGGATATGGAGAAGGCCAAGGTCCTCAATGACTGGTTTGCCTCACTTTTCACCAGCAAGTGCTCCAACCACATCACCCAAGTCACAGAAGGCAAAGGCAGGCACTGGGCAAAGAACCACCCAACTTAGGAGAAGATCAGGTTTGAAACCATCTAGGGAACCTGAAGGTGCACAGATCCATGGGACCTGATGAGATGCATCCACAGGTCCCGAGTCAGGGCAATCCCAAGCACATATATAGGCTGAGCAGAGACTGGAGTGAGAGCAGGTCTGAGGAGAAAGATTTTGGGGTGCTGACTGATGAGAAGGTCAGCCTGGCTCAGCAATGCATGCTTGCAGCCCAAAAACCTACCTCTATGCTGAGCTGCATCAAAAGGAGCATGACCAGCAGGTCAAGGGAGGGGATTCTCCTCCTGTACTCCACTCTCATGATATACCACCTAGCGTACTGCATTCAGATCTGTGGTCCCCATCATAAGAGGGACATGGACCTGCTCAAGTTCAGAGAAGGCTATGAAGATGATCAGAGGAATGGAGCACCTCTCCTATTAAAACAGGCTGAGATAACTGAGCTTGCTCAGCCTGGAGAAGAGAAGGCTTAAGCAAGACCTTAGAGCTGCTTCCAGTGTCTAAAGGGGCTGACAAGACAGCTGAAGAGTGACTTTTTACAAGGGCATGTAGGGATAGGACAAGGGGTAATAGCTTTAAACTGGCACCTTTAGATTAGACATTAGGAAGAAATTCTTTTGCTGTGAGGGTGGTGAGGCCCTTGCACAGGTTGCTCAGAGAAGCTGTGGCTGTCCTATCCCTGGCAGGGTTCAAGACCAGGTTGGACAGGGCTTTAGCAACCTGGCCTAATGGAAGGTGTCCCTGCCTGTGGCAGGGTATTGAAACTGGATGAGTTTTACAGTCCCTTCCAACCTAAACCATTCTATGAATAGCAGGCAAATGATAAAGTCAAAACACATCAATTGGAGAAAAGGAGGCAAGAGAGTCTGGCAAGGACAGGGACCTAAGGAATATCACATTGAGTATAAGAAATGGTACGAAACTGCCAAAAAAAACTTTGCTTCATTTGGCAAACACACAGCTCTTTAGGAAAGGTGCACCAAATCAGGTGGTTACTTTGCATAAAGCCGTTTTCACCATCATATTTACATACACCTTCACAACTCAAGTTTAATTTTTCATCTCCTCCAAGACATCAATAGTCTATTGATTTCTTCATTGCAGAATACATTGGCCTCAACTTGAGTACAAAGGAGATTAAAATGGCCATTGATTTAGAACAGTGAATTAAAGTCAGTGTTGACACACTCACAGCTACTCACTGAGAAACAGGACCACAACACTACATACCCAGCTCACCATGAAAGCAAATATACAGAGCTGCTATGTAAACTGACAGCCGGATGAAGGATCAGGCAGCCAAAATGTTAGGTCCAGTGGAAAATAACCGTTTCTGTGGAATCAAAAGTTTCAGCAGGATCATTTCTGTTTCCTAAAGAAAACCATTTAATTTCCACTCCTAACCTGGTTATAAGTAAAGTGAAAAAACTATGGAATGATTAATAATATTAACTTATCTTCGCTAACTATGCGTCTTGGTTTGTACTTATCTTTCTGGTCAAACTCTTCTTTCATTTCCTCAAAGTCCCAGTGATTGTTTCCTTATGTTCTTTAGCCACTTTCATTAGGCGAGGTGCTGTTCTATACTTCACCCTGGTAAACCTGGGATCACTTCAGCAAAGGCAAGCTGTTGATTTGTTGTTTTAAGGGAAGTTATTTCGGATTCATACATGTGTAATTGGAATTGAGGCTTTGCCCACTGATTATAAACAGAAGATATGCACATTTTTTTTGAACCTTTAAGGCTACAAAGTCAGATACAAGACTTTTAAGACTTTGACACAAACTTATTTGTACTATTACTCCTTACTGCATCACAAGATCAGAGTTTAATACACTCATTAATCAAAATGTGACAAGAGTTTAAGATCAGGCTAGCTACATTTAATACACAGTGGAGGCAAAGGTCTGGGCATTTTAACTTGCTCAGCAAAGTCTGAGCAGGAGATATGACACTGGCTATTTGCTTAGTCTGATGTAACAGGCAACAGGACAGCACACAACACTCCGGGGAAGTCTTGTGCATGCCAGTGATAAACAAGGTTTCCCAAAAGTTCTCTGGAGTTGTCTAAACAGGTTGTCATGTTACAGTGCTCACAGACAAAACCCTTCTTTAACTAAAGGGTTTTACTGGATTGACAAGAGCTCAGTTCCATCCTTCTCGTTCAACAAATGAGGATTGGGTTAACACAAGGCTAAACCCAGGGATAACACAGACCTCAGGATCAGGCTTGGATTGCCCAGCCTTTGTTTTCATTGGTCTTATATCCAAAAACCCCAAAGCCAGTCTAAAGCAAACACATATAAAACCGTTCAGATTCTGTTCAATGGAACAACAAATTGGACACTTAGGAAGAAGAAAATGTGACCAAAAAAACCTAAAAATGTCAGACTATACATGAAGTGAAACAATTTGACACATCCCATTTAGCAGCAGAAGGTGCTAAGATTTGAAACAACATTGCCATTATATATTATTTACTGCATTTGTCAATTGAAAACACTGTAGTGATCATGCATGCTGTCTAAAAATGCTCCTCCACTGTACTCAAAACAGCTGAGGGATATAATTTTAAGAGAACACATCTGCTGATCTGTGTCTTACAAGTTGTTAAAACATGAGTGCTCTCTAACCTTAGCTTCAGCTGCTTCCAAGGTAGGGGAATTCCTGCTGCTGCAGAATGGACTTCCCAGACTGCACTCAGCATGATGTGACTTCTGACCTCCGTCATTAATCTTGCCTTCAGAGTTTAGTATCTGACACGTTTTTTGTGCAGCAGTCATCCCTGGCAGAACTGCAGGAGGAACCTCAGGGAAGGAGATTACGGCACAAGCCAGTCACCTTTATTTTCTCTGTGAAGCTGGCTCCTGGTCAGATGCTTCTTCAGATCCAATTATGTCTTTGAAGTCAGCCTGACTTTGAAGCTTGCAAGCAACAGAAACTGTAACATTCAGAAGATTTTTGATAGGATCAGACCCAAGCAAGAATGGCTTTCTTGCCTGTACTTCAAGAAAAGGTTTGCCTTAACAGAACGCACATGATCGACTAAATGTCACTGGTAAGTCTATGACTTAAAAGACCTCAGAAGTTACTCACAGGAGAGTTTTATGCTGTGTAGTGGATCTCTGATTCCACCGAGTCGTAGGTTCCTGTTTAAATACACCATGATTTATACCCTAATTAGGCTATTCATTTAGCAAGCCTAACTGCATACTGATTTCACTATCTTCTAGGAGAAAAAACTTGGAGAGACTAAGTAAAGTAGGAGTGATATTCAAGTTCAGGTAGACATCTGCATCTGTCATTTTCTTTTCCCCAAGTGTGAATCCAGTCATATTAAAATATTATGTTAACACACAAACATATTAGATGATATTATGAGATAAAAGCTCAAGCATTCTGTAGTCAGGCCACATCTTCGTATTCCAAAGAAAGACACTATCTAGGAATACCTACATTAGTATTTCATGTTCCATTATAGGACAATGGGATATTTAATAACAAAGTAATCTCATTGATCTGAATGTCACAATTTAAGTTTTACTCAGAATAAAAGAAAATGCAGTTGCATTTAATTCATTATCTCTTACATCATAACATTCTATGATCTATAGCTGATCTTTCACTGGTATTACTAGCCATGGGAAATACCCACTACAACAACATTTAAGGTTAAAAAAATAAACTAAAATATAATAGAAAGAATGTTTTATTTCTATCCTAAGTTTTCGGATTTTCCTCTAAAGGCAAAAGACCAGTGTTCTCTCAATGACAAGAGAGCTAACAGGAATCCTAAGGAGAATGGAAGAAAGCCCTAATAACTCATCTCAAAATAATTAAAATAGCTCTGCAGCTATTTAATCTTGCCAAATTAAAGAGGGATTCCCCACACACATCTGAAGTATGCTTGGGAAAACTGCTACCAGAACATGCGCAAAGAGATGATAGTTTGTTGTACCTGCTAGCGCCACATCCCAAAACAATATATATAATCTTTTAGCAGCCACCAAATACATTGGGCAGGGTGAAAACATGCTACAAAGAGGCTCCCATTCTGCAGAAACTTCAATTATTTGCTTTAGTCTCATTGAACTCCATGGGTCTTACACAGGAAATACACTTTTTGAAGCACAGTGTATTTTCCTCAGTGAGGATGGCCTGTTAAACTCTGGACTAAGTTCTTGCCCTCATATAAGCATTTCTCATTAGGTACCTGGAGAGCAGTCATTTTTGACCTAAAACTAAGATCAATGTCTTCACTGACATCTTCAAACAATCCATTCTGCTCTCATCTACGTTGTCCCTCTGCCAGTACTGGGAAAATGAAGCAACAGGACTAAAGCTGCATGGTTCAGCCTCCCCTCTGTGGGAATCAATAACAAAACACCCGCTAGCTTCTGTAAGACAGAAATAAACCTTCAAAGTCTGGGAGCTTGCCCTGAAGTCCAGCAATGCTTAAGAAGAAAAAATAATAATAAAATAAATTAACTAAAAAAAAAATCAGATAAATGGCTTCATGGTGTTTCTAATGCATTTACAATTTGCCTTATGTAAGTGGTCTTAGCTTCATAGTGAATCATGGAATAGCAGGCTGTAAGGGACCTCAAGGATCATCTGATCATCTGGAGCAACCATCTCTAGGCAAAGCATGATCCAAACTAGATGTCTCAGCACGCCATCTAGCCACATCTTAAAAGAGCTCAATGCTGGGGAATCCATCACTTCCCTGAGGAGATTATTCCAATGGCTGATTTTTCTCACTATGAAAAATTTTTCTCTTGTTCCCACAATTAAGTTGAACCCATCATCCCCTACCTTTTCCATCTAATTCCCTGTAAAAAGAGAGTCTCTGTCCTTTTTCAGCCACCGTTTTAGGGTTGAAAACAAGTCAGGCTGGACCTGAGGCCACTGAACAATTGACATAATTCCAATAAACACACTAAGATGTTATTCACATACTTATAACAATGTAGTTTCTTATCAGCTCCCAAGAGAGAATTGTCCATGAACTACACATAGAGCATGAAAACAGAATGTTGTTGTCTCTTTTTCTTAAGCTCTTCTTCTACAAAATTGCCGAGTTCTATAGAACTGGATAATTCCACACTGAACTGACAACCTAAGCTAAAAAAATAAGGGTTTAGCTTCTCATTTAATAATTCTGAAAATGTGATTTATTCCCAAGTAAGTACTTCTGCATTCAGTGAGTAAATGCCACAAAACAAAAAGAAAACTCTGGCAGTCACCAATGAACCAGATGCAGAAAAACTAGATGCTAGGACTTTACAAGTCCAGGCAAACACTAAGAATTGTTTTCAAATATATCTATGGCCACTGACACGGGTTATGTATCTGTCCCTGAAGGACAGATCAGAAGCACTATGGTCATCTTTAATCTTGCAATATATTTAGCTTTGCAGTTAAATTTTTGTACTTATTACTTTAAAAAAGAGGTTCTTAATGCATGCAAGGAACTAAAAAAAAAATATATTCCTTTAAAATTTATATAAGTAACCCAGTATTTTCTTCTGATAAAAGAACATCAGACATATGGTAAGGCACTTGTATACTTCAAACACTATGGTAATTCTCTTCCTCCTTATCTTTACTGAAATGACCTAAAACACTCTTTTCCTCTTCAGCATCAGCCTTTTGATTGGTAATACCTGTGCATCACTGCATGCTCAATTACATTACTAATGCACCTGCATTCATTGATTTTTCAAAAACGGAGACAGCTGCATTTCACTGTCTTGTAGGCAGCTTTGCATCCAGCTATTATGACCTATCTAAGCAAACTCCATTGGCAACCACAGCATAGTTATCATGCCAAGCACCACACTGCTCCTGTCAGAAGCTTGTCTCAGTTGCTTGTTAATGGTCTATACACCACACATGCAGGAATAGTGATTAGTGTCATGTTCACTCCTGTTGGCACTGAAGGGTTGGTAAAGGCATTCACTGATAGTGACTTTGCAAGAGATTTCAGTTTACCAGCTTCCTCTTACCAACAAGATCTATAAAGTCACACTTACCAAAGTCCTCTAAAAAGTCAAACGGGAAAAACTGTTTTCCATGCCACAGTTTCAAAAGAGAATGCTAATTCATTAATGTCAATAAACCATGTCCATGTCTCTTACAACTTTTTATCTACCAGGCAGTGATAATCACTGCTGAACAGAAGGCAGAGAGCCCAAGACTGCTTGTTTCTTCAGCTCTGTTCTGTATCCATTACCTGATGCAAACAGTACACACAGAAAGCCACTAGAGCATGAATCCTCAGGAGATGAGTGCAGAAGTTCTTTCAGGGCTCTAAGTTTATTGGAATCAGAGAAGCTCACAAGTACTACATATAGCTTGCACACCACATCTTTCTAACCTGTTTTTACCCCCATTTTTCTAGTGGGGGCATGGAAAGGCTTGACTTGCTAATGAGACTAGAGACTGGATTTTGTGACCTGCATCTGTGTTCCTAAAATAAATGTTTGTGCGTAATCCCATTTCATTTCTCAGCATCTTTAATTGGTATCTCCTTGTAAATGCTGAATACTATATTAATTCTATGACTTTCTGTGTCTTCACACAGCTCTAATGATCAGAAACATTCCATTTGGTGAATGTGTTACCACTCTCAGTTCCAACCGCACTCTAGTAGGACAGACCTACAGCCAGCAAATAAGATCATCTGGGGATACATGTGAACATGCAGATTATTATTCTTTGTCTGAGAGCTTTTCAATCTCTCCTGGTATCTATAAAGCAGAAATCCAAGAACATTTCTCTAATACTGTTCTGCAGATACAGTGTTGTGATGTTGATTTTTGTCTACTCTTTCAGTGTTAACAGCCACGTAAAAAGCCAAATCAACACAGTCATCCAGCTCAGTCTAAAGTAGACACCTACAACTGCCCACCTCTTCAGTCTACTTATGTTGCTGCAAGCTGGAGTAGCAAAGACACAAGATTAATGTTTCTTGTAAACACAAGATCTTGCTCTAAAACAAATCCTAACTTCTGAAGGCTAAATTCTATAGGACAGTATGGGTACTTCATTAATTTACCAAGAGAATGATGGTGCCACTGGTTTTAGAAAAATCAATATTAATGGACCAGAACAAACAGAAGCAAAATCTGTTTTCAGTAGATCTTTTTATTCCACCTGCATTTACATAAGGCTCATTAAAATAACTTATTAGCACCTCTGTTTTGGCTGATGAACTGCTTTTGTGTCGCAGTAATTTTGCAAGAAAAAAAAAAAAGATATGATCGACTAAAACATGTTTCAAAGCAAGGAGACCATCTTTTACACTTTGATGTCGTCTCTTACCTTTGAAGCTTCAACTCATCCTCCTGTGAAATCTGGAATTAGGAAGCTTCATTTCTCATGAATGCAACGTTTTCTACTGCAGCTTATATACTACTAATGTTAGAAGTATTTTACACTTCTGGGGTATTTTATTCTTGATCTTATATACACTGATAACTACCAGAACAAGGACCTTCTGCAGTATTTGTATTGACAATGGCAGGAATCCTCCCACAAGTCTTCTTAGAAAAGTTATTTTCCACTTGTCCATTCTCATCTAACATACTGCACTTACCCAACACTTCACTAGTGCTTTGTCTTTTCAAGTATGCGTTTTATTTCTGAGAGATGTACTGCAGCTCGTTGATCAACTTGCAGCCCGTCTCAGTGATTCCTTTGAAGGCTCCCTGATTATAATCCTAATGTCCAGGGGACATTTCTATTACATTCAAAAGTATTTTACCAGGAAACCACTTTCACAGTCCTGAGGATTCTGAATCTGCATTATTTCCTTTTTAACAAAGCTTTGGCAGAATCAGGAGGTGGAAATGGCTGTGGATCCGGGTAGCTTAGAAGAATATCCCATTAGAGAGCATCCATTGCTGACACTAAAATGGCCATTAACATTCCTGAAGTAGCAATTCTGACTTATTAGGAAAAGAACTCCTACATCAGTGTTCACATCTTGAGATGACACAAGTATGTAATCTAGAATTATTAATTACATTGTAAGCAGCACAAGTTTACTGATACCTTTCAAAAAAGACTAAAAATATCAGATATATAAACAATAAATGACACAGCCTAGGTGATTATCCTGAGAAAGCTATTCTTCTGGTGATGTTATCA